GCTCGCTTCAAGCGAGTCGTCGGCCGCGATATCCGCAGCTTTGTACATCCCGCCCGCCTCGTTATGTGGAACGAACGAACCGATTTCATTGATAGACGATTCACGATAGTAACGCTAGGTTCGAGGCTGTCACCCACAACACTGCGAGAGGTTACGTCGCGTCGTTTTCTTGTCGGTGATAATCAGTGATAATTCTGAGACGAGTGATTACCGCGTATAATGTCGTGACGAGTGATTTAAGTGATCGAGAATTAACTGAGTTGACGAGCGAAATGACAGCGCGGGACGAACACGGCGACGGCTGCTCTATTATTTCCTTGAATTTACGGTAAGAATTCATTGAAAGTAAAGCGTTCGGCAGGTGAAATTATGCGTTTATTAATGGGAATTATCTTTCTCGCGAGCTTGGATAGGGAGTAATACGAGCTTCGCGATGGGGCGTTTGAATTCCGACGTGGCTGTTTTAATTGAGACGACCCGAACGAGCCCGTCGTCACCCGGGTGGACGGCAGTTATACGCGCGAGTGGCCACTTCGCCGGGGACGTATTCTCGTTCAGCATCAGGCACATCTGTCCAGGTTTGTACGCCGTCGCCTCCTTCCACTTAGATCGCTGGTTTAAGCCCCTAAGGTATTCGGTCTGCCACCGCGACCAGAATTGATCGCGCATTTGCTGCAGGAGCTGCCAACGCGAGAGCCGGCCTGCAGGCACATCTAGCAGAGAGGGCTCAGGCACAGCTGTGAGAGCCGTCCCTACAAGCAGATGCCCCGGTGTGAGCGCAGCACAGTCCTCCGGATCATCCGTGAGCGGGCTCAACGGACGGGAGTTGAGGCATGCCTCTATCTGAGTGAGTAAAGTGGTCATTTCTTCGTAGGTAAGTGTGGCATCGCCGAGGACCCTTCGCAGGTGGTGCTTGGCTGATTTAACCACTGCCTCCCACAGACCGCCGAAGTGTGGAGCTCCAGGGGGATTGAATCGCCATCGTACTCTGTTGTTGGCCATCTCCTCTGCGATGGATCGTCCTTCCTTCGTGCTAGCGGAAAAGAGTTTGCGGAGTTCGGCATCGGCACCTACAAAATTAGTTCCGCAATCACTAAAAAGTTCAGTGCACATTCCTCGTCGAGAGACGAATCGTTTAAAGGCGGCAATGAAAGCTTGTGAGGAGTAATCAGAGGCCACATCGAGGTGTACCGCCCGCGTGCTTAGGCAGACGAAGACCACCAAAAAGCCCTTGATCGCCTTGTGGCCCCGTCCGGGCGCTGTCCTCAGAAATATCGGTCCTGCATAATCGACGCCTGTGTATTGGAACGGCCTCGCTGGAGTTACTCGTGGTCGAGGCAGATCGGCCATCTTCTGTTCGGCCAATGCCGCCCGCCATCGCACACAAGTGATACAGCGACGGATGCATTGTTTCGTCAGGTTGCGTCCACGTGGTATCCAGTAACGCTGGCGTACGATACCGAGTGTCAGTTGCGTCCCTCCGTGCAGTGCTCTCCTGTGACAGGCTTCAATAATTAACTTGGTGAGAGCCGATAGAGGAGGCAAAATAATTGGGTGCTTCTCGTCGAAGGAGAGGGTTGCATGTCGTAGGCGGCCTCCCACTCTCAGCATTCCTTCTTTGTCCAGCAGCGGGGAGAGCTTGGTAAGTGATCCCTTGCAGTCAACCTTGAAATCTACGGCAATTAAAGATAGTTCCCTTTTGTAGTGAATAGCTTGAACATGGCGAATCCACAATTTTTCTGCGTCGTCGATCTCCGTGGCGGATAAGGGACGACGGTGCGCCTCTCCTGGATCTCGGCGGCCGTTTCCATTCGACTGGTGCTCTCGAGGTAACCATCGTCGACACCAGGCAGTGACTCGCAGGAGTTTATGGAGTGTCGAGTACTGTGATAGCATTGGATGTTCCTCGGGGGGTTCTCCAGTGGATGTGGTCAACGTGTGCGCTCGCTGCTCTGTTTGGCACTCGTCGGGTGCTTCGATCTGTTCCACTGCTGCCGAGTTTGCTCCTTCATGCAAGAGGCTCGGACCGTGCCACCATAGTTCGTGGTTGACTAGCTCACTGGGAAACAGACCTCTAGATGCACAGTCCGCAGGGTTGCAACGTCCAGGGAGGTGTTTCCATTGGGCTTCTGGCACTAAGCGCTGAATTTCGGCGACTCGATTGGCTACGTAAGTCTTCCACCGCGATGGATGTCCTTGAATCCAACCGAGAGTCACCCTTGAATCCGTCCATAGGTGCAGCGGTAGATCCTGCAGGCGTAGAACGTCCACCGAGTGTCTCGCGAGTCTCGCCAAGAGCTCCGCCGCGCTGAGTTCCAGTCTCGCCAAGGTCACCTGCTTAAGAGGAGCAACTTTACTTTTCGCAGTGATCAGTGTTACCTTGATCTCGCCGTCCTCGCCTTCAGCTCTCAGATAGAGCACTGCAGCGTACGCGCGCTCTGACGCATCAGCGAAGCCGTGCACCGTCCTCAGGTAATTCGTTGTTCCCTTGGCTAGCGCTCTTGGGACTCTTATGTTTAAGAGCACCGGCAGCTCCGCCTTGAATTTAATCCATCGAGCTGGTCCGTTTTCCGGTAAAGGTTCATCCCAGTCAAGGCCCAATAGCCACGCGGACTGGATGAAGATCTTCGCGAGAACGATCGTTGGAGTGAGCCAGCCGAGTGGATCAAAGAGCTGGGCAGTCTGGGATAGAATTGAGCGCTTCGTCACGGCACCCTCCGCCGGTGGTTTGACGGCAAAAAAGAAGCAGTCCCCCAGCGGATCCCAAAGAAGTCCCAGCGCAGAATGAGTGATCCGCTCGTCTGTACAGGCGCGAGACTGGCGTGGCAAGCGATCGTCCTCGGGTATGTTCTCGAGTAGTTCGGTAGAGTTGGCTGTCCACTTCTTCAGGGGGAAGCCGCCCGCCTTGCAAAGACCTCCTAACTGTTGCTGCTTTTCCAGGGCTTCCGCTTTCGTATCGGCCCCGAAGTAGAATTCGTCCATGTAGGAGTCCTCGAGCACTACAGAGACACCCTCCGGGAAGCGGACCTGCTCATCGCTCGCGAGCTGACGAAGGGAACTGAGAGCGAGGAATGGTGCGCAAGCTTGACCATAGGTAACGGTGTTGAGCCTTAAGTCCAGTATTTCGCCGTCCGGATCCTTTCTCCATACGATCCTCTGGAGGTCCCGATCTTCCTCGTGAACGAGTATCTGCCGATACATTTTCTCAATATCGGCTGCCATCGCATAAGTATGCCATCGCCAACGAAGAATTCTGTCGGCTAGGGCTGGCAGCAAGTTAGGTCCGACATGGAGGTGTTCATTGAGCGATGTGCCCGAGGAGACGGTCCAAGATCCATTGAAGACTACTCGGAGGCGCGTCGAGGTACTTGCGGCTCGGAACACTCCGTGATGCGGGAGGTAGCAGACCCTTGCTGGCAGGTGAGACGTTGTTGTAATTCTTGACATATGATTTAAGTCCTCATATGTGCTCATGAAGTCCGTGTAGAGTTCTCTGAACTCAGTGTCTCTCAGGAAGCGCTTTTCGGTGCGGAGAAGAGAATGGATCGCCGCGGTACGAGTCTCCGATAGGTCCGGCAGGGTCGAGCGTACAGGCAAGCGAACGACATAGCGACCGTCGGGAGTTCGTTGGTGTGTTCGGGTGAACCATTCTTGGCACTCCTGTTCTTCGAGCGTGAGAGGTGTGGGTGAAATCGGAAGCTCCTCCTGCTCCCAAAATTTCCTGACGAGGTTAGAGAGGGATTCGCCGAGTAAGCACTGGTGACTCGACACCCTTTGATCCTCCTCAGCTGGCTTGAATTGACCCAGTAGGATCCATCCAAAAATGGTCTTCTGTGCAACGGGTTGCAAGCGGGTCCCCTTGCGTAATCCCTCGAGCACTATTGATGAGTAGACGTCCGCGCCAAGCAAGACGTCGATCGGGTCAGTCGATGTGAGGTCCGGATCTGCGAGCTCGAGTCCTTGAATATGAGGCCATTCATCAAACGGTGCGTCTGAAACACTCGAATATTCGGTGAGCCGCGGTAATATGATCGCGTGTGACGTCACTGATTCTCCCCCCGAGCGCGGTGAGATCTTCAAAACGACACTGCCCCTCGCGACTCCCGTCTGGTCGCCTCCCACTCCGAACACTGCGACTGAAGTCTGTCTTCGTGGAAGTTTTAGTCTTTGAGCGAGATTTTCCGTTATGATCGTCGCTTCCGAACCCTGATCGATTAAAACCCGCGCGTCGATTGATCTCCCGTAGCGATCAAGTATTTGAACTCGAGCGGTAGCAAGAAGTACCGACGGTTGAGTACGCGGAGAGTTTCGCGCAACATGCGCGGTTGTCACACTCTCGGTCTTAGCGGTCTCGGGCTCCGTCGGAGTTTTTCGGAAAGCATCGTGCAGTGAAGTGTGATGTTTTTCGGCGCACACCGAACACAGTCTTTTGGACGGGCAATCGTTGACCTTGTGTCGTCCGAGGCAGTTCTCACAAAGGGAGTTACTGTCGACGTACTGTTTTCGTTCCCGAGCGGGTTTGCCCTTGTATACATCGCACAACATCAGAGCATGCTCCTTCTTACAGATTCCGCATCGCGAGAAACCGGGCTCTCGTTTTTGCACATGATGAGATCGCGAGGCTTTATTTCCCGTTTCCGTAGATTTGGTCGCAGGCGTCTCTGATTTTCCCGGCTGAATTGCTTCCAACGTTTGGAGCCGGCGATCGAGGAAGCGCTTAAGAGCTTCATAAGTCGGGGGGTTGGTCGACTCGCTGATAGAGTTTTCCCATTCTCGGCGAGTGCGAGCGTCGAGCCGCTCCACTACAAAAAAAACGAAAAGGTCCTCGCTGCTCGATATCGGACGACCGATGCTCTCCAGCGCGCCGGCAGTTGTGGACGCGCCGTTTAGTACTTTCCGCAATTCAGTAGCCGTTTCAGATTTCATTTTTTGCAACGCGGTAAATTTAGTTAAACAAGATCGCACTAGTAGTCTTTTGTTCTCGAACTGTTCGCACAAGATTTTCCACGCGCGTCGATAATTTTCCGCCGTTGTAGGCAAGTTTTTAATTAACGCTTCTGCATCTTCTTTCAGGCTTACCTTGAGGTAATGAAGTCGCTCTACCTCGCTTAGACTGCTGTCCTTGCCGATGAGGGACTGAAATAAGTCTCGAAAGGCGGGCCAGTCTTCATACCTCCCCGTGAATTCTGGCAGCTGTATTCTAGGTAGCGTGGTTCGTGATGCTGACGGATCCGCTCTCGGTTCGGCTTGTGGAGTGCGAGAAAGTCGAGTGGAACAGTCGAGTAATGTCCCCTTCTGATTGAGGTATGCCTCTTCCACGAGGCTAAAGAAATCTTCCGTCAGGTAAGAGGTATCGCTCACAGCTTCCCGGTGAACCGTACGAAGAGTTTTGTCCTGCTCTTCGAACTTGTTCCAACAGCTCTCGAGGCTGGCCAAACGGGATTGAACGGCGCCAGCGGTGATGTTGGCTTGCCCCAGCTTCCGGAGATTTTCCACTACGCGTGAGATCCTCCCATGTAAATCTCTTTGTCCTTGTATTAAGTTTTCCATTTGATTTTTCTTTTCAGGCATTGCACGGAAGCACAGTTCACAACGAACAGCAAGCACGCACTTTTTATCGCGAAAAGAGGACCGAAGCGGAACTGAATCCGATAGATCCGGCTCGAAGGACCAAAAATGTTCGGGAATTTATCAATTCAATTGAATCGCGAGGAATGGAGGAA